CCCCGAGACAAAGTCAAGATGGTCTCGAGGCACATTCCAAAGCTTCGCTCCTGCCTTGGCCCACTTGTCGGCCATAGCGTTGCCCTTGATGTGCCGCGCGTCATGATCAGACCTAGCGCCCCTCAAGCTCCTATGAGCAGCTACCTTGACAGTAGAAGCCTTCTTACCTAGATCAGACCACCAGGTCCTCCACATGTGCGCACGTGCATTCGAACTGGCCAAAGCAACACTCGAATCGGTAGCACAAACGAAGGTACCTGCACAATCAGCATGCACAACTAAGGGATCATCTGCAGACCACTCTGCAAACTGAGAGAGCATATAGAAAGCCCAGTCCTCTCCGTCGCGCGCGGACTGCGAGGGCGCCTGATGGAACGACACAGCGCCGTACATGGCTCCGACGAGCTCTCCAGCACGATTAACCTGAATCGCGGCCCAACCTGCCCGACTCAGTCCCTGAAGGCGACTGTGGAAAGCCGAACCGTCGACAAACACGTGGCCCGAGAACCTCCACCCAGGAAACGCTCCCAGAAACCGCACTTGGTTCTCTTCAGGGACTTCCGCCACGGGGAGGCAAAAGGAAGGCGAAGGGAAGAGACAACGAGCCGTCATCTCAGCAGGTTCCTCCCCAAGACTTCGCACATACATGGCTGCCTGCATTACATGTGTCGGGCATTCCTCGCGACGAGGAACAGCACTCCGAGGGCAATCATAGAATCTATGATGAAGCGTGCCACGCATGCCACAGTGCACACAACAATCATTCTCCGCCTTACCGTGCGCGTGCAGGCGCGCCTGGGGCCAGTGTGACCCTCCTACTAGACTCCTGATGGCAGCTGCTCGGTGCGAACTCCAGCCTTCCGAGTAGTCCTGATCGAGCAGCTTACCGACAGGGCCCCAATGTAATGGGTGGACCCAGGGCGCCTTCAAACGTTTCAAAGCATTGACGTCAGACGCCTGGAGGGCCAGGGGCCGAATCGAATCCACGAAAAAGCCATGCGAAAAATCCAAGATCCGGAAGTCCCCGAGGCGAGAATGCCTCAGAATTTCTACAGCTGGCAACTGGCACCCAATCCTAGCGAGCGAAAGGACAGCAGCCTGGGCTGGATCTACTACCTGAGCCCATGACCGATCCTTAAAGAGGAGCGGCTGCGCTTCCTCAAGACAAGCCCGAAGCGGACCGATGCCTGGCATACAGGAAAGGACACTCAACGTCCAATGCTTGACTACATCACAGACATGCACGATCCAGGGGTCCCTGGTGGACCCTCGCTGCGTCGCCCTCAGACGGAGCGCAACAGAGGTTCCTGGAGGGACTCTCCCTTCTGCACGCAACGAAGCAAGTCGCAAGGTGGGGAGTTTAGTGTCAGCTATGCCAGTGACCGACGCCCCCCACATCGCCGTCGCCGTAGGAGACCCCCTCATAATAGTGCTGACACTAGCTCCTGCCTGTCTGAGCGAAAAAAAAACACGCTTTGATACCGATGGCGCTTTGGCCAAACGTTTGTTCTGCTCTTGAACACTCCTCGACGCGCCGTCAGTGGCGCCCGTGCCTAAACACCTGCCGCTACGAAGCTTCTGCTCATGGCCTAGGCTCCAGCGCTCGTTTAGCTCAGAATCCAGCTCCGCTGAACTGGTCACGTAGCCAGTCTTATCCCAATGTGCAACGAGTTGCCTTTGCTGAAGGGACTCGGCTAATTCAGACATGGCTTGTGGAAACTGATCTAGCACATTCTGCCTGCCTCCGATCGCCTGAAGCAGGAAGTCGTCTACTAGGTTTTGAAACCTCACCATGGGATACTTAGCCTTGAGAGTGACAATCACTGTATGCACGGGAACCTTGGCCAGCGCTAAGGCACAACTACATCCTGCCGCCACCGCACCGTTGGCTCGGACCTGGTCCGAGACGAAAGACTTCCACCTAGCTCGCCTGGGCAATCTGCACCCTGCACAGAGACACTTGAGGAGCCTGACTGGGAACCCCGTGGCAAGAGCCTCCCTTGCAAAATCGTCATGTGAAAAATGCTCGTAATACTTCGAAGCCCGCTAGCAGCGGAAAAGCCCTTGAGTCCGGCGAAACGCTGAAAGATATTGTGCACATGCCCTGCTCTGTCGCAGGTCTGTCCTGAAACTCCCCAGGAGGAGTCACTAGTGAGAGACAATTCCCAATTCCTAGCCACAGGCTGCCTAAGCCTAGACCAAATGCGCCCCCAGATGGAAGCCAACGCTATGGGCCTCACTCCCGTAGCCGGCGAGGGTTTGCCCAGGAAAAAGATCAGGAGCGTCCAGAGCTCAAGATCCTCAGGATCCCACTCCCATTTCATACGGATGTCCAGGAACGCCTGCTTGTACGAATCTGGCAGCCAAAGAACCTGCCTCGGGTGGAGGTGGTCCCGCCCCAGCCCGCAGGCCCCCGAGTAGGAAGACAGCGCAGAGTTCAGCTGCGAGATGGCGACCCCAGGCAGCTCAACCCAAGGGTCCAGACCCCCAGAGGTCAGAAACCCCTGGTCGGAGACAGTACCACACGCAGCCTCCGAGGGCCTCA